GAATTGCCATAATTAAAAAATTTAGAGACAAAGAAAGAGAAAATAATGATATAAGAAATATTATCAACAATCGTAAGAATGAAATTGAATCTTTAAATAAGAAAATAAAGGAAATGCAAGATGTTAACGGATCAATGGAGGAGCTAAATAATTCTGGCAAAAAACACAAAAAATAGAATAGATAAATGGAAGAATGAATTAGTACTCTCAAAGATACAGATATAAAAGGAACCAAAATAGAAAAAGAGAGGTACAAAAGAAAAAGAATGAAGAAAAACTTTGAGAACTATCTGCCAACAAAAGGAAAGGAAATATGAGTCATAAGTATCCCAGAAGGTGTACAGAGAAACAAAGGAACTGAGAAACTATCCAAAGAAATAATTGAAGAGAATGCTCCAAACGTGAAGAAAAAATGGAAATAGACATACAGAAAGCTAGAAGAACACCAAATTACCATAATGAAAGGAAAATGACAGTGATGCACATAATAGTAAAGTTTCCAAGAGTCCAAGATAAAGAAACTATAATGAAGCTGATGGGGCAAGAAACAAAATCTATAAAGGAAAACTGATTAGGCTAACATCAGACTTTTCTAAAGAAACTATGGACAAGAAAAGAATGGAGCAATGTAATTAAAAAATTCCAACACTGAAAGTACTAGCCAAGAATACTTCATCCTACAAAACTCTCCTTCCTCTATGAAGGAAAAATAAGAACCTTCTCAGACAAATAAAGTCTTCAGAACTTTGCTACTACCAAACCTCTACTCCAAGAAATATTTCAAGAAGCCAAAAATCTAAACCTACAAGAGGAATGAACAAGAAGAGTTAAGCACGACAATGAATAGGACCACAAAATGATGAACAAAAATGGCAATTAGAGACTCCCATGTATCAATATATAGTGACCCTAAACATAAATGGACTAAAGTAGTATACTGGATGAGAAAACAAAACCTAAATGTCTGCTGTCTTTAGGAACTCTACCTAAGTAGCAAAGATAAAATATAAATTAACAGAAACATATATAAATTAAAAAAAAACATAAAAAATAAAGGGCTGGAAAACAATTTTACAAGAAAGTTGCTCCCAAAAGAAGGCAGGGGTAGCCAGAGCTATATTATATAAAATAGACTTCAAACTAAAAAAATTGACGAGAGGTACCAGTTGACACTATATAATGATCAAGGGACAGTACACCAGATAGTTCTAACATTCATTAGTATATATTCAGCAAATGAAGGAGCACCGAAAATATATTAGGCACTTACTTTTGAATCTGAAACAGATATTAGAAAAATATATATGTGATAGGAATCTTCAGTACCTGTACTTGACCAATAGACAGATAATGAGACAAAAAATAAACAGGGACACAATAGCCCTAGATAATGATCTAGACTACATGGGCCTAACAGACATCTCTAGGACACTGTACAAAAAAAAAAAATTAAAAATCCCCAAATGCACATTTTTCTCAAATGCACACAGATAATTCTCCAGGAGCTACCACATTCTGTGCCACAAGATAAACAGCAACAAATACATGAAGATTGAAATCATATCCACTATCTTCTCTTACCATAAAGACATCAAACTAGAAATCAACTATGAAAAGAAAATGAGGTCTCCTCTATAAAGTGGAGACTGAGCAACATGCTGCTGAAAGACCACTGGTTTAATGAGGGAATCAAAGAAGAAATTAATGTATTGAGACAAATGACAATGAGGACACAACTTTCCAGCATCTAGGGGAAACAACAAAAGCAGTATTAAAAGGAAAGTATATAGCAATGCAGGGACTGATATCAAAGATCTGCAGAGGGCTTATTAATACAAAATAAAAATCAAAATCAGCAAGCAACTATAAACCAGAGACACACTATGGGGGGTAGGGGAGAGGTGGGGAGAGGAAGAACTAGGGTCAAAATAAGGGGGGGATGCAATTGTATGGGGAATATAACCAAAATGAAAATTCATGCATTGTTCAAAAATGAAAAATGATGTAAGAATTATATAAAAGAAAATATTTAAAATGAAAAAAGAAAAAAAAAACTCAACAAAAGCAAAGCAAACAGCCCAATCAAAAATGAGGCTGAAGAGCTAAAACGACACTTTTCAAAAGAGGAGATGCAAATGACCAACAGATATATGGAAAATGTTCAAAATCATTTATAATCAGGGAAATTAAAATAAAAGCTACAATGAGATACCACCTCACACCAGTGAGAATGGCCCATATTAAAAAAAAAAAAAGAAAGAAAGAAAAGTGGCAACAACCAATGCTGGCAAGGAAGTATAGAAGAATGGACCCTCTTACACTGCTGGTGGGAGTGCAAACTGGTCCGGCCACTATGGAAAGCCTTGTGGAGGATCCATACAACACTAAAAATGGGTCTACCATATGATCCAGAGATTCTACTCCTGGGACTATATCCTCCTAATTCAAAGGGAAACCTCCTCTCCTATGTTTATTGCAGCACTATTTACAATTGCTAAGATATGGAAACAATCTAAATGCCCCAAATCAGATGACTGGATCAAGAAGATGTGACATATATACACAATAGAATACTATTTACCATCAAAAAAGATAAACTCATGCCATTTGCAGCACTGTGGATGGAACTGGAAGGGATTATGCTTAGTCAAATAAGACAGAAGGAAAGCAAAAAATATTGCATGGTCTCATGGGGAAATACAGGGAAACCAAACAAAGCATCAGGGGAACTATAAAATATGCAGTCAAACGGTAGAGTTGAAGTAGAGCAAGGGGATCAAAACAGAGTAGGGAAGAGCACAAGGGACTATGGTGATAAGCAAGGGTGCTGTGGTGATTGGAGAATCGTGAGGATTACACATAAGAGGAGAAATTAAATACTGTACAAAAATGAACAGTGTTGTATGAAAATTAAAAAAAAAGCCTTTAATATTAGTGTATTAATCAGAATGTGTGGAAAATTCATGAAACTGATCTTGGTATATATAAATAAGGGCACAAATGTAGTAGCTGTTGCTGCTATTATTTTTATGAGATCAATTATAGCATAGCTTAGAGAAGTTTAGGATGGTTTGTCACAGCTGTTTTCAGGTGTAGCGTCAGGGACAAGAGGATATACACTTCTTATATGTTGATTCCAAAGGAGGAAACTTAACCAGCAGACAATAAGAGAGGTTTTGATTCTAAGTACCAGGGAGGACTAATGTTTAGGGAATCAATGAAGGAACTAGTTTTGTGAGATGGGGACCCACTTCAGAAAACACTAAGTTACTATTTAGAAAATAGAGGCCTACTTTTCAGAATAGCATGAAAAGGATAGCTCTGATGTGAAATATTTACGTCAGCATCCTTTGGACTTTATCACATTTGACAGTCCCATGTAGCCAATATTTTGCATTCTTTAATGCCCCAGGGTGTATAAGTATATATTTAATAATGTGGTAATTTCAGGAGTTTTCTAAAATATATATAAATTAGGGTTCTGAAAAGAATCTTTAAAGAAAATGGGATAGAAGTTTATCTATCCTTATCATTTTAGTGAATTATTTCTGGAAAAATAGTTGAAGAGCTATTTCCAAAGGCTTTTAAGTAGTTTCTAATTGCTGTATTTAAGGTATTGTTCTTGGCACTGTGGCTGATGCCGGAATATAAAAGAACTCTTTTTTTTTTTTAAAGATTTATTTATTTATTTATACAAGAACCCAGGTACAGGCCAGATGCACAGAAGTGTGAGATTATGCACCAGAGACAGAGCAGAGAACAGAACAGGCAGACTGACGAAATACACTGCTGAGGGGAGCAGTGGGCGCAACAGGAGAGGTCTGCCACACCATGTGGGTCCCTCGCTGTCAGGGATCGAACTGGTGCTGCAGAGGCTGCGGACAGCCTCATAGTGCTGTGCTCAACTGCCTGCGCCACCAAGGGAGGCCCTAAAAGAACTCTTAAAACAGGGCCTCCTCAGTGGCACCGTGGTTGAACGCTGGGTTGTGAAGCTGCCCGCAGCCTCTGCAGCACTGGTTCGATCCCCTGCCACCTGGTGAGGGTCCCACATGGCGCGCAGACCTCTTCTGCCGCCTGCTGCTCCCCTCAGCAGTGTATTTCGTCAGTCTGCCTGTTCTGTTCCCCGCTCTGGCTCTGGTGAATTCTCTCACCCTTCCTCACTTCTGACTGTACCCAGTGCTTGTATTAAATAACTAAATAAATAAATATTTAAAAAAAGGACTCTTAAAACAAAAATTTGTCCCAAAAGAATTTGCCTTCTATTAAACTCTATGTTCTCTAATGGTTTTTAAATCTCAATGAGAAAAGTAAAATATTATAGCTCATTGTCCAAACCTAGACCAGCTTGAATAAAAAAAGAATCCAGTCTCCACTTGATCCAATTTTCAAAACTTTAAAAATAAGAAGCTTAATATTTTAACTACTAGTTACCATTGTTTCATTTGCCATTTTTAGTTAGAAATTTAAAGTAATAACTGTCTCCATCATACCATACTTGTCTAGGAAGTTGTAAGAATACCCTAACACTAGGTACTTTCAGAAGTTAGTCTAATGGATCTGATGCCTTAAAGGAGGATTATTTTTATTTGTGAAAAACACAGTGTGTTTCACATACTAAGCATGGAAAGATCTTCTAAATTTTGCTAGTTTTTCTCCAGGTCTTCATTTTTACTCAGTAAATGTAAAACAACAGACTATGCAACAGTTAAGAAGAAAATGCATAGTACAATATTTTCCCTTCCTTTAAAAATATTTTACATTTTAAATTAATTTTCATTTAATTTTAATAATCTTTTTGGTCCACTCATATGAACTGTATTCTTAAGCAAAAAGCCTTATTTCTTCTCTTATTTATTTTATATCTCTAATTATATTTTGTATCATATATTTCTTTACTGTATACCAGGCACTATTTGAACATTGGTTAATATGCTTTAAAATTTATTGTAGTGCTTCTTTAACAGTCTGATAGTCTAAACAGTATCTTTCTCTGATTTCAGCCTGTGAAGTTGAAGCAGGAAAAGTATATCAGGTGTCTTCAAAAGACCATGTCCAACCTTTCAAAGACAACATGGAGCAATTTATTATTCAAGGTAAATTCCAGCAAAAAGTCAGAAGATATTTTAAAAAAAATAGACATTAGTTTAAAGGGCATTATTTTAATCACAGAAAATCTATGTTTTGGGCCTCCCCTGGTGGCGCAGCAGTTGAGCACTGGGCTGCAAAGCTGCCCGCAGCCTCTGCAGCACCGGTTCAATCCCCTGCTGCTGGCGAGGGTCCCACATGGTGCGCAGACCTGTCCTGCTGCGCCCACTGCTCCCCTCAGCAGTGTATTGTTTCAGTCTGCCTGTTCTGTTCCCCGCTCTGGCTCTGGTGAATTCTCTCACCCTCCCGAGTTTCTGACTGTACCCATTGCTTGTATAAATAAATAAATAAATAAATCTTTAAAAAAAAAAAAAAAAACAAAAACACACCAAAAAACCCCACAAAACTATGTTTCATGTGAGTCATGGTTAAAGGAAAGTATCAATTTGTGAAAAAATGCTGTTTTGTGAATAACACTCATCATTATTGTTTTTTATGATGGTATGTATAGTAGATATTCTTCTAAGTTTTATCTATTCTTTTGACTTCAACCTGTTATTTACTTGGTTTGTCAATACATTGTACCCAATGTACACGGTATATTGATGTTTTCAGCTCTTCAAGGCATTATCTGATATTTTTAAATAAGATGTATAAATATCTCTGGATTCTTTAGCACCTTTATTTTCAGGGAGCTCACAAATTTTATAAACATTATCTTATTGAGTCTTTCTACATTCCTAGGGGATAAACAATAATGGAAAATTTCAGAAGTTTTTGAAGAAATAATTTTAAGAGAAAATCTATTAAATGTTTCAAATTATTGAAACTTACAATTATATCAAAGCATTTACTACTCAAAACTTTTCAGCTTTGGAATTTTACATCTCTTCTGAAGATTAGATTTGTGTCATGCCATGCTCTTTGAAAGTTTTTTTCTGGGCCTCCCCGGTGGTGCAGTGGTTGAGCACTGGGTTGCGAAGCTGCCTGTGCCTCTGCAGCACAGGTTCAATTCCCGGCCTCCGGGCGAGGGTCCCACATGGCCCGCAGACCTCTCCTGCCGCCCGCTGCTCCCCTCAGCAGTGTACTTTGTCAAGTCTCCCTGTTTTGTTCCCCACTCTGGCTCTCATGAATTCTCTCACCCTCCCACACTTCTCACTGTACCCAGTGCTTGTATAAATAAATAAATGAATATTTAAAAAAATAGCAATTGATATTTAAAAATAAAAAAAAAGTTTTTTTCTGTTTCAGGAATTCTAGGAGCAGGCATGAGACTGAGTTCAATTAGCACTTTGAAAGCTGGCTCCATCTTCTGTTTTTAGGTGATAGCTTTTGTAGGCTATTCAAAATGTCCTTAGTGATGATTTACAATGAATGAAGTGTTCTGAAATTGATTAATGTTAAGTATTTAGATGGGCAAGTGCTATGTAATAATTTAAGAGAAGAATGAAGATTGAAACTGAAATTTGGTCAGATTCCCAAATTAAACTGATAGTCATTTCTTAATTTTCAGGTCATCATGTCTTAGGGTGAGAAATCTACTCACTGATGCCTAAATAGTTCTTTGACTGAAATCATAGTCCTGTAGTTATTGGAAGACCCTGAAAGCTAACTCCTCTCTTAGTAGTGAATGAAAATGAATCTTTCTCTTTTCATCCAGTAAGATTTTAGTTACATTCCTGAAAGGCCTCATAATTGGTAAAATGTATTTTACAAATTACATTTACTATTACTATCTTATTGCTAGCTGATGGTATTTAAAATTCTAAAGATTATATTACTCTATTGTGAAAAGTTGTTATATCCTAGAAACTTGCTGGACCCTTACTAGTATAGTAATTTGTGAATTGTTTTAAAGAGTGTTTTTGTAGCCATCACTGCAAATAATGACTATTTCATTTCTTAGTTTCTTTTGTTTTCTGGCTCTATTGCACGAGCTGCTTTCTTTAATGTAGGGGATTTTATGGAGAAACTATTATGCTTATGAATATTAAGCTTATGAGTATTCTGCTTATGAGTATTAGATGTTAACCATTTTAAGCCTATGAAAAGGACACATATATGAAGTAAATATGAAAAGTAAGTAAATATATTTTAGAGTTCTTGATTTTTGTCTTTGAATCTGTTACATATCTTGGCCCATAATTCCTTTATATTGTTATAAAGAGGCACCCTTATTTTAGCAATATGTAAACTACATTCTGAATATGAACTCTGTCTATAAAAAAAGTTAGAAGTTATTTGGTACTACTACAATGGAAGGTTTTTTGCATTTTTAAAGCATTTTATCCCTGTCTTTTTTATATCATGGTAATGTAGAGAGAAGAGGAAATACAGGACAATATTACTATGCAGTTTCTGGTTTATATATATTATTTATATGATCTTCAGAAAAACAGCTATAGTGGCTGGTCTTTTGTTTATATCCAGGCCTGCCTGACACTAAGTCTTATGTTCTAGCCCTAAACAATAGTCCTGGTGGGATGTGAAAAGCAGAGTGATAAGAATATTTGTGAAGGAAGAGTAACTGTTTTATATAAGGTGTGGAGAAGGAGTTTTCCCCAGAGTCCAAGGAGGCCCTTGGGCAAAGTGTTTATTAGATGTGTCGTACAAATGCCCCTGTCGAAGGAGAGGCCAAGATTGCCCCGGATGCTGTGCTTCAGGGAGCCTCAGGTGACTTGATGAAAACTTAAAAGTCATGACAAACCAAGTCTTGTTTCTGTTCATCTATTTAAATGCTTTCTAAGGTATCCATTAGTTACCTTACTCATGATTGACAAGACTGCCATCCTTCTTTGAGATATCAAAAAAGAAATAGATTATATGCAATATAAAGAGTGGGGGAATTAATCTTTTTTGAGATAGAAAATTGGAATCTTTTATATCTTTACTTGTATATAGTTTTGCATATTGTATTGTCATACAGTTTGTTAATATAGGTTGTAAATATATAGGAAACTGCTGCTAAATTTCAAATATTGCCAAAACCCTCTTTGCTGTAAAAATTAACCTAAATTTTATATTGCAAAAAAACTAGGTCAGGGAATAAAACAATTAACAAACATGTTATTATATGAGTTAAAGAGAAAATTCTAATTTTCTGTCACCTTCAGCAAAGCCATGCTTGAAAAGCTGTGTGTATAACATAGGTGACTCATAACCTGTTTTTTTACTCGAACTGAAAAAAAAAACCTTTTTCTTTAAGATATTGGTCACTGTGTATAAGAAACTTGGATACTCCCTGAATGAATGGCAGAATTATTCTTACTTTAATTCTAAAAGATATTTTAATTTTCAGTAGCTTAATTGCATTTTTTTAATTCGGTAGATTTCCTCTTCATAAGCTAAAAAAACAAATCCTGTATGTCACTAAGTTCACATTATAAGTAGGTTTGAAAGTATTGTGACCACAAAATGTTGATTGTGCCTTCATACAAGCATCATATTGGAAAAGCTATCTCTTTCCAGAAACTTGAATCACATCCCATTTTTTTTCAGAAAGCTTTAATTCCTGAAATTGCCGTACATACAAAGAAAAATCTATTCAGGTCATTGAATTGTTTACTTCAAGATTTGAAAATCTGTACTCTATCACACTTTGGTCTCTCCTTTGTTTATCAAAGGTGATTACAGTTTGAATATACAAGTCCTCTTAGTTTCAAAATCATGTAAAAATAATGGATAAAATAACTTTTTAAAGTATTCTCTACCATTCCAATTTAGTTTTATGATTGTAATATGGGTATTAGGAAGTCAATCTTTGGAAGTCAATCTTCTGCCACATTGGATTTTTTTTTTTTCAGTCAAGCTTACTCAATGCAATGAGGCAGGGACTATTTTGGTATACATTAAAAGGAATCATTACAAATACATGAAACCCATTTCATTCTACCCACCAAAATTTAGGGGCTTGTGTTTTTGAAAAACTAGAAATCATATCTTTTTTTATTATTAAAGATTTATTTATTTATTTATACAAGCACTGGGTACAGTCAGAAGCACGGGAGGGTGAGAGAATTCACCAGAGCCGGGAGCAGAGCAGGCAGAAGGACTGAAGTACACTGCTGAGGGGAGTAGCGGGCGGCAGGAGAGGTCTGCGCGCCATGTGGGACCCTCCTCTGGTAGCCAGGGAGCAGCCGGGGATTGAACCGGCCCTGCAGAAGCTGCGGGTAGCTTCGCAACCCAGCGCTCAACCGCTGCGCCACCGGGGAGGCCCTAGAAATGATATCTTTACCTAAAGGTAATATTGATAAAAAAAATAGCAGTTGATATATTGAATTAAGCATAATTATATATCATTTTAAGAATTTTAAAAACATGAAGTTCAACATTTTCTTCTTCTTAAAGATTTATTTATTTATGCAAACAAGAGTTGGGGTGCAGGCCAGAGATGCCGGGGGTGAGAGGATTCACCAGAGACAGAATAGGGAGCAGGATAGGCAGATCCATGGAACTACACTGCTGAGGGGAGCAGCAGGCAAGACAGGAATGGTTTGCTGCACCATGTGGTAGCTCCCTGACTGGGATCAAACTTGTGCTTCAGTGGCTGCAGATAGCCTTATAGTGCTGCGTCTTCACCCCTTTCACCACCAGAGAGGCCCCAAGTTCAATATTTTCAATGGACATTTTGAAAGTCCCTGTTAATTATTATTATTATTTTTAAAGATTTATTTATGCATACAAGAACTAGGGTACAGATCAGAGGAACGGGGGAGTGAGACAGAGTGGGAAACAAAACAGGCAGATGGACTGAAACACACTGCTGTGGGGAGCAGCGGGTCAAACAGGAGAGGTCTGCTGCACCATGTGGGCAGCTCCCTGGCTGGGGATCGAACTCTTGCTGGAGCGGCTGCGGATAGCTTCATAGTTTATGACTTGCCCTTTGTGCCACCAGGGAGGCCCTCCCTGCTAATTACTGAAGGCACTGTGCTAAATATTTTGTGCATGTTAATAGATTAATCTATTTGTTTAAGATTACATTGCTAATTTTAGTGACAGAATCAGAAAGACATATAACTTAGCATCTTTGTTGCAGTGTTTTTAAATTACACAAATAATTTTCTAATTTTTCTTAAAAAGTTCAGAAATTTTCTTCCATGCTCAATATAATCTGTGTATTTTATAAAAATAAAAATATAGACAGATGAAGTCAATCAGAAGAATGTCTTCCTGAAAATGGTTTGCATGTGGTGCTTTATTGTTTTCCCTTAAGAAAACTTTCTGTCATCCTAGAATTGTTTCTGGAAACAAATTGTTTTATGTTACACAGTTCAGAGCATGTCTTAAAACAAAATATGTTCACATTGTTATCTTTTCAAAGTAAAATCATGGAATATTCATTTTTTTTTACTTTTTTTAGTGTAGCTAATTAGTGATTTGTAAGTTTACATATATAATGCAAAATACAAAGCAAAAAAAATCTCTCTGCTGCCAACTCAAATGATCCTGTTAAATTTTAACAATCCTTGCAAAGAGTGACAGCATGATACTCTATTATAGTTGTACAGGTACTGCACAGACTTCAAACAAACACTGTCTAAAGGTTATAAATTTTAAACAGCTCAAGCTGTACTATTTTGTTTTAAGTAGTAGTAGAAACACTTTGACAGTTCCCAAGTGATCCTGGGTTTGATTTTGGGCAGAATTCTAATATTTTAAAATAAATTTGTCCTGCTCCACTTTGTCTTCTATTATCTCCAAATGGCCACAAGTATGACCCAAAGGGAAATGATTATGATAAAGAGACAACTTCTCTCACTGGTTACAGAATTTTTTAATTTAATTAAAAAATTGTTCTATGACACATTGGCTTTCAAAATATGTCACAAAACATTAGTGAGCTGTAAAATAAATATACTGGTTGACTATACATTTTGATCTTATAGAATTGACTTAAAATATTAGAGAACATTGCATGAACTAAGTATTTTGGAAATTGTGTGTGTGTGTGCAGGGCAAAATATGTAAAAGTGACTGCTATTGTTATTTTATGTGATAGAGTTCCTATATTGTTTTAAATAATTAGAAAATAGTGATGTGATCTCTTTCCAAAATTTGAACTTTGGATTTGTATCAGGCTACCACAAAAATAATCGTGGATAAAGGGGTCCACTATCATCTCTCCATTTTCTATTAGTAGAAAAAATATAAATATTTTGTCTTGTACCTTTTTTTAAAAACATTTATTTATTTATTTATACAAGCACTGGGTACAGTCTGAAGCGCGGGAGGGTGAGAGAACTCACCAGAGTGGGGAACAGAACAGGCAGAATGACGAGGAAATACACTGCTGAGGGGAGCAGCGGGAGAGGAAGGAGAGGTCTGCGCGCCATGTGGGACCCTCGCTGGTGGTCTCGGATCTAACACGTGCTGAATGGGCAGCTTTGCAACCCAGCGCTCAACCGCTGCCACCAAGGGAGGCCCTTATCTTGTACCTTTTTAGAAATAATCTCTACATCTACTCACTTGTGACCTGCTATGGAGAGCACTTAATTATAGAAGGTCACATATCATTATATTTAATTTTTTGACTTGGTTTTTATGCTTTTTCTTGAAAGAACTGTTTTCAACCAATTATTGTCATTAAATCCTTCACAAACAATTCATTAAAAATATGAAATTAATGTTTTTTCTCAGGTCAATATGATCTAAATTACAAAAAAAGAAAAAAATGACATGCAATCTAAAATTTTAATTGGTTAAGGAACATATCATATCTCATTATAATTGTATATTATTTGTAATGTGTATGATATATAAGTAATATTTATATATATATATCAACAGAAGTATGCTAACTTTATGAAAATTAAGTGTTTTCTGTATGTATCTACAATGTTTATAGATTTAAAAGTAACATTCTGGGACCTCCCCTGGTGGTGCAGCGGTTGAGCTTTGGGCTGTGAAGCTGCCTGCAGCCTCTGTAGTGCCGGTTCCATCCCTTGCCACACCCACTGCTCCCCTCAGCAGTGTATTTTTTTAGTCTGCCTGTTCTGTTCCCCGCTCTGGCTCTGGTGAATTCTCTCACCCTCCTGCCCTTCTGACTGTACCCAGTGCTTGTATAAATAAATAACTAAAATCTTTAAAAAAAAAGTAACATTCTGACTTGGGTACATTATAATTATAAATAATGGGTTAAATATATTTAATATTATTTTAATTATATTTTTCTTGAGGTGGTATGACTATTACCATTTTCTCATATTTTTTTTCTTTTCTTGTATTTTTAGCTAAAATTGACCAAGAGGCAGAGGAGAATTCACTGACAGAAACTCATAAATGGTGAGAATTACTTTCCTTTAATATAAAATTTCTTCTCAGAAAAGTCTTAAATATACTTATATGTTTCATTTCAAGGAACCAATAATTAGCTCAGTTTTTATTCAAGCATTAAAGAAAAATAAACTAATATAATAGTATACTTTAATTCCACATTGAATTTTTTATTATACACTGATTTTATTTTTGTGACTATTTGGTATATAATCCTGTTAAGTATCAAATTATTGTGAATTGCTTAGCTATTCAAAGGTTTCTAAAAAGCTTTGGGTAGGAGTTAGGATTTGTGGATGTTAGAGATAAATGAAAATAGCAAGAACCTTTTTAGGAAAAAAGGTTGAAGAACTTGGTTGTAGGAAAGTATAGGGTCCAAACAGGAAGCCTAGAGCTTCTCTTGTATTCACTTTTAGAATGAGATTTGTAATCATGGATTACATGTGAAAATGGTCCATGTCAAGCAAATATCAAACAACAATTGCTGGCAAGGGTGTGGAGGAAAAGGAATCCTATTACACTGTTGGTGGGAATCTAGACTCATTAGTCCAAAGGGAAAGAAATTGGAGATTCCTCAAAAGTCTAAAATGGATTTACCATATGACCCAGCAATTCCACTCCTAGGTATCTATCCAAAGAGCAAAAAAAAATACTAATTTGAAAGGAAACCTGTACTCCTATGTTTATAGCAGCACTATTTCCAATGGCCAAGATATGGAAACAGTCTAAATGCCCCAGAACATAAAAATGGATCAAGAAGGTGTGATAAATATATTTAATCGAATACTACTCAGCAATCAAAAAGGGTAAACTTACGCCATTTGTGGCAACATGCATGAAACTGGAAGGGATTGTTCTAAGTGAGATGAGTCAGAAACAGAAAGATAATACTGAATGGTTTCACTTATATGTGGAATCTAAAGAAACTAAACAAAGGATCAAGCAAAGATGAACTATAAGACTGGCCCTTGAAAGCATACTGTAGATCTGAGACATTACTAGGGGGTGGGTTCATGTCAGGGAGGGAGAAGAGTGGAGAACAATGGGAGGGGAGTGTTGTGGATGGTGGTAGGGGACAGTGGACACTTGGTGGTGGGAGATCTATGGTGATTGCAACTGAAGGGAGTAATCCTATTTTGTGAAAAAATAATCGAGGATGTTTAAATACAAACAAAATATAGGAGTTAATAATTTTTAGCAGGTTTTAATATTAAGACCATGACTCAAATCCATAGGGTTGTAAGGCTTGAAAAACTATGCTTCTAGCATTGTAGATGTTCTAGAGAAATGTTTATTATAAGTAGTCTACAATCATTTTCAAGGAAAGAAAGTTTTTCAGTAATGAAACTAAGAAAAAAAGACTGTTATCAGTGAATTACCTATACAAGTATTTCATAAAGCAGATTAGAAATCTCCTTTAGAAGGTTATTATTCGAAGGGCTCATTTGGTTAGAAGTCATAGAAATCATGGTAAGTTATACCTAAAAAGGGATTCCTCAGAGACCTTCAGAATCCAAGATAAAGCTAGAGAGACCTAAGAAAGGAGGGGATGAAGCAGGTGTAAACACAGGCCCATCTTCTCAATGTGTGTAAGAGGGTTTACAAATCCTGGTTTCACCTTTTTTTTTTTTTTTAATTTGTCAACTTAGGGGAAATTACTGAAATTTTCTGTGCACCCATTTCCTCACTACAATGGGGAGAGTAATAGAACAATTACTTTCTAAGCAGGTTATATGCTTACTAGGACAAAGTAAGCACACTATTATTATTTGGTATTTTTTTCACTATGTTTGTCACAGTGACCTACCACTAATTGATCTATTGAAATTTCTCTATAGTTATTATTGGAGATTCTGGAAAGTATGAGTCTAATTGACTTTGAGACAGGTAACATTGGCTTCAAAAGTGCATGGGCTCTGGGTGAGGCAAGTTTTCTAAAGTTTAGAAATAATGGCACAGTGACTTTTTTGTGGGGGGGTGGGGGAAGAGGGACAGAGGCTAATAGAACCAAAAAAAGCTGAAAAGAAATAATTTGGTGAATCGCGAATGGTCTTTCTTATAAGTTGATTTTTCTTTCTTTATGAGACCCTTTCTTTATATGATAAAAATCTTACATCGCATCTTTGTTCCAAATCATTATATACCTCAAATATGGGTAAATGCAAATGAAAAGTATCGTTGATAATTTTTTTTTTTTTTTTTTTTTTTACTGCTTTGCTTACCATTTGTTCTGATAGGGAAGATAGTTATAGACTTAGACCAGTAGGTGGTCCTGTTGTATACCTTGCAAAATTTCAATCAGAGTAGGAAGGGGGAAATAACTGCATAAAGTCTGGCATCACTGAAGTTGTACATCTGTAGAAAGTGTCAAGGAAGAAGATAGCAACTACTTTTATGAGTCTAGCAGACTAATTAATCTTTCTGATCCTGGTTTTCTTCACTTGTTGTGGGAAGCCAATGTGATCATATAAATATTGTATTAACACAGTAACTAAGCATGCAGAAATTTATAATAAAAATGACAACTTTCCAAGATACTATACATTTTTCCTTCTTTTCAAATAGCAGTTCTTTCAAAGATCCAAAGTTTTCCACAGCTTGTCCCCCAAATGAGATCAGTTCAAAGTCATACTTCTACTCCTAGGGAAATATTAGCGTAGTGCCAATGAAAATATATTTAATCTCTCTGGAAATACTGCGATGTGGAAATTTGCGTCTATGCTGATTTTTTAAAGAGCTATGTTATCATTACCACATAAAAATCTAGATTAGTGTGAATAGATGTAGACTTAGCATGCTTATTCCAAAGAATTGGCAAATTTTTCTGTAAATAATTTAACCCATTACTACAGTTCCCACAGTGACTTGGATTTGTTTTTAAATGTTATGAAAATCTATCCTTACAAAATAACTTAAAAGGTCTTTTTAAATTTTATTTTAATCATTGCATGGTTTAGCAATAACATCATGAGTATATCTGAGAAGAAATGAATTATTCACAATTATTTGAGGATACTGAAATTAAGTTAAAGATAATGAGAATTTGACATAGTTTTCAAAACTGATCTTAAAAATATATGAGCAATGAGGCTACAAGATACTTGACTTTGAATTACTCAGGCAAGAATATACCAGAAAGAACGCATAGAGTGTAAAGGCAATAAGAAATCAGTAAATACTATTTTCCATAGGGGTGGGGCCAGTTACATTCCCACCAACAGTTTAAGAAGATTCCTTTTTCTTCCATCCTTGCCCACACTTGTTTCTGGTCTTTTTGATATGAGTCATTCTCACAGGTATTAGGTGGATTTTTTGATGGTTTTGAGATGCATTTCACATATTATAAATGATGAACATTTTTCTCATATGTCTGCTGGGCATCTGTAGTCTTTTTTGGAGAAATGTCCATTTAGTTCTCCCCGATTTTTGGTTTTTTTTTTTTCTCTCCTTTTGTTGAGTTCTTTGAATTCTTTGTCAAACTTAGACATCAGCCCTTTGTCAGATGAATATTGGACAAATATTTTTTCCCATTCACTGGAATGACATTTTGTTTTACTGGTAGTTTCTTTCACTGTGTAGAACCTTTTTAGTTTGATGTGGTCCCAATTGTTTATTTTTGTCTGTCTGTTTATTTTACTGGCTACTGGATACAAATCCACAGAAACATCCCTAAGCATATTTTGTGGCATATTCTGCCAATGTTCTCCTATGTATTTCATGGTGTCAAGTCTTTACATCCAAGTGTTTTTTTTTTTTTTCCATTTTGAGTTAATTTTTGTATTTGGTATGAGATATTACCTTACTAGTTTCATTTTATTGCATGGTCTGTCAAGTTATCCTAATAACATTTATTGTAAAGATTTTCCTTTCTCAGTATACTCTGAGATCCTTTGTTAAGCTCTACTCTCCATATATGTGTGGATTTATTTCTGGGTTCTTGATTCCAACCCATTTGTCTGTGTGTCTTTTTTTTGTTTGTTTCAACATTATATGTTTTAATTATCATATCTTTGTAGTATACTCTGAAGTCTGGAAGTATGATGCCATGATTCATCCTCATTTCTTGTCAGATTTCTTTGATTATTTGTGATCTTTTGTGGCTCCATATGATTTTTAATAATGTTTGTTCTGTTTCTTTAAAGAATACCATTGAAACTCTGACAGGGATTACATTGAATATGTATATTACTTTGGGTAATATAGCCATTTTAACAATGTTAATATTTTGATCCATAAACAGGGAATACCTCTCCACTTATGGAAAATAGTATGGAAATTTATCACCTTAGGGTAGGGTATTTTTTTCATAAAAATATGAAAAATAGATCTACCATATGATCCAGCAATTCCATACCTCGGTATCTACCCAAAGAATGCAAAAATCACTAATTTAAAAGAATATATGCACTCCTATGTTTATTGTAGCACTAGTTACAATAACCAAGCTATGGAATCAACCAAAGTGCCCAAAGACAATTGAGTAGATTAGGAAGGTCAGTGTATGCACACAATGGCATACTACTTATCTATAAAAAATGATGAATTTTTGTTATATTATGACAACATGGAGTGGAGTGGCATATGCTAAGTAAAATAAGTGGGAGAAAGACAAGTACTAGATGGTGACACATGTAAAATATGGTGAGGAGGGCAAAGGATCAGATAAAGCCAAGCCTATAACATACCCTAGAAATCTGACTGTGAAATTGAGGTTACCAGAGGAGGCAGAAAGGAAGGAAAGTAAAATAGGGTGGGAGGACAATGGACTATCTTGGAGGCCTATGGGTGCTTTGTGGTTTGGTAGCAGCAATACCTGAAGGTGGTGACAGTAAACTAAACAATGGAGAGAAAATAAAACAACAACAACAACAACAACAAAAACAAAAACTACCAACCAAAAACTTCCTGGGAGCAAATGCCACAGAAAGAAAATAAATCTCCAGAACCCAACACAGAAGAATTTCTCTGCTTGACACACAAATAATTCAAAGAGCCATAATTAAAAACTC